TATATATATATATTTGCATATGCAAATATGCAATATGTAGGCCTATATATATATTATATATATATATGCAAATATGCAATATGTAGGCCTATATATATATATATATATACATAAATATATATATACATTTACGTTTACATGTATATTTATAACTAGCATATACTTACAAATGTTGCAGATACTTCAACCCACAAAACTGATTACGTGAAATGGATCTAATGTTGTTTTTCGAAAGAATTATTCTAGATGGTGAGTAGTAAATAACGCTTTTATTGGGTTGAGATGATATGTCAATGAAGTTCATGCTCAAAACTCTGAAAAGATATAGTCAATGTACTGTAGAAAGATAGCCTATATGCATTGCCAATAAGAGATAGTTGGTACAGCTATGGAAGAGAAAGAGAAATTAGGCCTACCCTAGGCCTAGATTAAGTCATGTGGTAGTGCATGCCATATGCAGTTAAGTAGAAAAGCCTACGAGAAAGAGACATTGTACATCTAGATTTGTTGCTGGACATCAAGACGCAAATATGCAAAGGACGGCCTATATAGGCCTAATACAATACAATAATTAGACCTATGGCCTAGGTCTATGCACAATAATTTTTTTCTAAGTTTAAATTACAGTATAAATTTTGCAGTAAGCCTACATGCCAATTTTAGCTTATTCTCTAGAAAATAAATCACTAGGCCTAGGCCTATTTACCCCGAGACCTCAAGGCTAGGCATAGGCAAGCTGTACTTCTACAACTAGGCCCATACCGGTACTATTTTAATTTAACTCTAACTAGACCTAAGACGTATTTTGCACTTTTGAATAATAATAATAATAATAATAATAATAATAATAATAATAATAATAATAATAATCATAATAATAAATAAATATTATTATTATTATTATTATTATTATTATTATTATTATTATAGTAAAGTTTAAGAGCAGTTGTCTGTAAAAATCAAAGAAATTTCAAAAATAGTGGCAGACTTAAAAAAAATAAATTTCCTTCAAATTGTGCACATGGCTATACCTTTGTTAAGAGAAATCAAAATATTAAATTTTATTCACTTTGTGCATATATTTCCATGGCAACGGGTAAATTGTATTTTTGGCAATTTTTGTTATTTTTGGCTGTTTTTAAATGTTAATATTAGTAATACTTTGATACAATTTTTCTGATATCTTTATGGTTTATTCATCAAAAATAATGAGTGTGTGTATAAGGTCAATACATTGGGTATCTGTTGCACATTTTTAAATGGTTTTTTGAATTTCTAACTTGGGAGATACCATGTTTTTAAAAAGGAGTGTTTTTCTTTTTTTCAAATTATGAAAAACTTCCAAACCTTAATTGCTCATAAACCTCAAAGTGGTGCTTTTTTAGAACTGATTTTCGACAAATAGGTAGTTCTTATGCTCCCTTAGAGAAGTCCGGTTTAATAATTGTGGGTCATTAAAAAACGTACGAGCAGTGTTGCCAGAAAAACTGGCATTTTTCATTAAAAAAAATTATAATAGTAAAATTTACTAGTTTTTATTTGATTTATTCATAGATTCCTTTGATTACAACAATAATAAAAGTTTTTCTATACTTTAAGTAATGTTGTAATAAAAAAAATGTTTGTGGTATCAATGTTGTCATTTTTCTGTTTTAGCGGTATTTTAATCCTTATTAAGGTCAGTTAATAATAATTTCACTTTATACATACCAATTTTTGTTAGTAGTGTCACCAGTTGGACACAGCACATTAACCTGCCTGGGAATGCAAGTCCCTGAATGGTGTACGGTAAGAATGGCCCCGGAAAAAATGGCCCCGGAAAAAATGGCCCCGGAAATAATGGCCCCGGAAAAAATGGCCCCGGTAAAAATGGCCCCATATGACAGGTAGGT